GGCCACTCACGTGTCGCGTAATGGACGATAGGGTCCATCCGCGGGCACAACGTGGGCTGTATCCGCCTCCTCCCTCGAGTGGTGGCGTAACCAGAGGTGAAGTCCTCTGCCCTCTGGGTCGGCTGCGGTGGCAGGGGGCATCCATGATGGCCGCCGCGGAGGAGTAGAGCCCAGGCATGTGGTCCAGTGGGAAGCGGTCCGGCTCCGGGTTCGAGACCACCTCGTCCAGGGTGAGGAGGGAGCCGACCTCCGAAACCTCTCCGTCCTCACAGTCACCCCACTCCGCGGGCACGGGTGGAAGGTCGAGTGGGGCCCAGTCAGTCTCAGACTCCTCGTCCTGAGAGGAGTCCGGACGCGGCGCTGCAGCGGCGAGGAACGCACGCCTGCGTTCGCTCTCCTCCCTGGGGAGAGCGAGACACGAGGTGCAGGTGGCGCTCAACGCCGCATGGCCCGGGGTCAGGCACATGAAGCAGCTGGAGTGCTGGTCCGTGCGCTGGAGCCTGACTCGACACGTCGAGCAACGACGACGTCCGACGCCGGATGGCGAAGGGGAACTCGGACGAGCATCAGAAGACATCTTTCTTTTCTGGAAGTTAGTACTGTGGTAGATCTCAATCGGCGCCAGAGTGAAAGAGGGGGTGCGGCCTTGTGCAGGGGCATTTATAGAGGACGGTGGCTGGTGATTGGAGCAAATTATTTTGATCTCTCTGGCGTGTGACCTGGGGGTCACGAGTTAAATGAGATGGGGGGTTAGAAAAAACATAAAAATCTAGCTTGAAAAAAAATATTTAGAGTAGTTTTCCACTGTGTGATAGCACAAGGGTTAAAAAAAAGCATGAGAAAAATAAACTGTAAAATGCTGAAGGTCCAGGACACTCACATCGGTCGTCCACCCCTTATGGACCAATGGCTCTGTGTGTTTTTATCAATTATTATTGTGTTTGGACTGTTTGATTCTCTGATCTGTGTCAGACAATTCAACGGTTTTGTAAAGTCCTCTGAGATAACTACTGAATATTTTGTTAATCATGCTTGGATAAACGTGTCCTTAATGTTGATTTAGAGGAATTAGCAGCACATGAGTTTCCTGAACCGCTTCCGACGCTTCTTCACCAACTTGAGCACCGCGGCCAACCACTTCTCCTCCAGCAGGGGGCGCTCTTGCTGTACTGTGCTCTTCACATTGTCTCAAAATGGCGGCCTTCTCTTCCTTCTCTCGCCCTAGCTCCGCTGCTTCACCTGATAAAAAACACATTGCTTACTTCTAATGTTATTGTATCACTTCCAACCCTCAAGATACAAAACGTTAGTTTAAATGACCCTAAATGTAATGCGTTTTTTAATGATTGTTTTAGACAAATTATTCATGCTGACTTTACCAGATCCTCTTTTAAGATGTTGCCCGGTCCGTGTACTTTTTCGTTCAAAACATTTTCTATTTTTAAAGGAAAATTGAAAATTGAAAAAAGTCTATTTTGCACTTTCAGACACACGGCAATATACAAAAATGACCATTTCGGCTTTTTTCATTTATTATAAGACATTTAACAAATAATAACCGGATTTGGGAACTAGAAAATACAATAATTAACCTTTTATTATTTCGGCGTCAATCGATTACCCGGAAGTGAAACTAGTTTTTTTTTTTCTTCAGCCCTATTTGCACTGGATTAGTATTACCTGTGGACCCCTGATAATGGCTGTGTCCAAAACGGTAGGCATCGGGCCGCGTAGGGTGGATATGTAGGCATCGTGACGTCACTTCCTCAAGCGACGGCTATTGCAGGGGTGTCCAAAACCACTTGGCGAGCTCGCCAAGCGTAGGCATCATGACTTCGTCTCTATGGAAACGGCCACTTTTGGAGCAGATATGAAGGATGCATCTGATGTATGCTTCGCTGCCTTCTTTTTGCCAAGTCACGGCCGCGCATGCGCAGAACTCCGTTTGGCATTAACATGTAAACAACAGCTCGGAGCTGCTGGAGCTAACATTATGGTAAGCACTGCTATACTTTACTGTGAAGTTATGTCTATAGTAAGTACTGCTATACTTTACTGTGAAGTTATGTCTATAGTAAGTACTGCTATACTTTACTGTGAAGTTATGTCTATAGTAAGTACTGCTATACTTTACTGTTGAGTTATGAACACGACTGTTATGATAAAACACAGACATAAATTAGATCTGCCACAGATGTGTGTATTTAACCTTGTTATCTGCTGTAAATAAGCTCAGTCCCGAAAAAGCTAATGCTACGAGGCTAGTTCATTCAGATTCGGTTTTTGAACAAGAAAAATCATGTTGTGTTTTATCTTTTAGGGAGAAACAAACCCACTGATTAAATATTAAAGCTACACTGAGGAAAGTCACGTTTTCATGGAAAATCACTCTGCAGCACAGCAGCTATAGTATGCTAACACATGTTTTCTGTATTCATATAAAATAGATTGTGCATATCGTTTTTAATCCCATACTGAGACTGGGAAAACTGTATATATTAGACATATGAAATGATATAGAATAGGCCAAGAATAATTATAAAGCCCTTTTCATACAATAGTCTAATAAATAGTAAACACACATTATACAGAGGTTTCGTTTGTCATGAATAAGACATTTGCAGAGGACAAAGTCCCACTTCCACAAACACAGGTTTAAAGTGGTTAGCCATGCTTCTAACTTGATTATTTGTGTATATTTCTATCATATAATTCTTCTGTTTCCCCTGCTGTGAAGCTTGTATCTCTAATATTAAATACTGTAAGGATTTCTGTATTTTATTTTTAACCAGTTTTTTGCAAAGCCCCAAATAAATAGTATTAGTTGAATATGAAGTGTAAAAAGAATCCTAAATGTGGGCTGTGTTTTAATGCATGATGTTTGTGTTCTTCTTTTTCAGAGACTTGTGGTGAAATTAAGGTCATAATTTCTCCAGCTTCACGTCCTGCTTCACCTCCATCACCTCCTGCTTTCACCTCCATCACCTCCTGCTTCACCTCCATCACCTCCTGCTTCACCTCCATCACCTCCTGCTTCACTGCTGAAAACATTATGAACTACAACAAACTTGTATATAATATTTTCCTTTTAATCACCAGTCATGAATAGTTAGAACAGTGGGCTCTGCATCTCTGAAGACATGTAGCAGAAGGAGCAGCAACAGAAGGAGCAACAGGAGGAGTAACAGCAGCAGAAGGAGCAACAGGAGGAGTAACAGCAGCAGCAGAAGGAGCAACAGGAGGCAGCAACAGGAGGAGTAACAGCAGCAGCAGAAGGAGCAACAGGAGGAGTAACAGCAGCAGCAGAGGGAGCAACAGGAGGAGTAACAGCAGCAGCAGGTCAGCAGTTATATACTTATACTTAATTGATACATTAAACATGGATGTGTCTGTTAGTTTTCAAGAGATATAAAAGTGAATATGTCAAACATCTGTGTTCATCCATTTTACAGATGTCTGTGGTTTCCATGTGTCAGTTATTATTATAGATCCAGGATGTGTGTTATTATATAGATCATGGATGTGTTATTATAGATCCATGGATGTGTCAGTTATTATTATAGATCAATGTGATTATTATTAAGTCCATGTTGTCAGTTATTATATAGATCCATGGATGTGTCAGTTATTATTATAGATAAATGGATGTGTCAGTTATCCAGTTATTATAGATAAATGGATGTGTCAGTTATTATTATAGATTGGATGTGTTATGTTCCAGTTATTATTATAGATCCATGGATGTTCCAGTTATTATTATAGATAAATGGATGTTCCAGTTATTATTATAGATAAATGGATGTTTCTCTCTCATCAGCAAACACACGTTAATATATTTAGGTCTGATAAAATTACTTTTAAGTGATGCACAAACGAGGGCCATAGCAAATATATAATCCATATCTAATAATCATTTATTGCATATATGTGCATTGTTTACATAAAATATAACTTTGTAAAAACTAATGATTACTGCCAATACTGTTGTTATAACAGAGAAAGTGTAACAACAAAAGCATCCTCTGTTTTTTCAGAATACGATTGTAAACATCCAGGGGGCTCTCATTACCTGACCCCGTGTTTAGACAGCCTGTTCTGGGCTTCGGCACTGCAGCTAACTGGGCTGTTAGCTTATAGCACCGGAGCTTCAGGCTGGAGGTAAAGTCCGAAAATTTTCGAATTTATCTCCAAACAGACTTCTGATATGACAATAAAGGGGGATATTTCTCGCCTCAAATGATATTAGAATTAACTTTTATGTCCTAATTAAAGCGTATTTAGAACTTTTTACCGTCCATCATGGCCGCCGTGTCCTTCCGCTCCGCTCTGAGTTGTGTAGTCACGTGACGAAGGCAGAAGGCAGCTGCTGTCCAAATCCACATCACGTCTCGCCTCCTACCTCGCCTGTGGCTACGCGGCCTTCCCTCGATGCCTACATATCCACCCTACGCGGCCCGATGCCTACCGTTTTGGACACAGCCTCTGTGTGTGCTTGTGAACATCTGCCTCCAGCCCGTGTTGTCATTCTACAGTGACTAAACTAGCACAGCTAGCATGTAGCGCAGCTAGCACGTTCGCTGATGCGGAAGTACCGTCTAATAATAAAATAAACTGATGGTGCACCTCCATGAACACATACTGCTGTTATATAAAGTCTCTGGACACAGAGCCGCTGCAGAGCTGCAGTATTGGAGAAGAACTTTACACAAAACGCCACTAGCTAAACACTGTAATTTAGAGAATGTGCGTCTACTGCGTGGTCTGAACAAGCTATGAACAAGCTGAATACACATTCAAGCTAACAGTCTGTAAAATCAGACAAAATGTTTTTATCAGAACTGCAGAGCTTTTCCCACATCTTCAGTAGGTCTTTGGGAAATCTAAAAAATGAGCATGCGTCACGTAAACTTTGATGATTACAGCCGAAAACAAGGCAGATAATGTTGTACCATTCAATTAAACAGCCTCTTCAAACAGCAGGAGGTCTGTTTGTGTCCGAACTATGGACGTGCTTCTGGGACGAGACTTTCCAGCGCTATTGTCTCCATGGTCTGCGTCTCCATGGTCTGCGCCTCCATGGTCTGCGCCTCCATGGTCTGCGTCTCCATGGTCTGCGCCTCCATGGTCTGCGTCTCCATGGTCTGCGTCTCCATGGTCTGCGTCTCCATGGTCTGCGTCTCCATGGTCTGCGCCTCCATGGTCTGCGCCTCCATGGTCTGCGCCTCCATCTCTGGCCACACTGTGCCCCACACTGCAGCGCTCTCCTGCGGCTGCGCTCCCTCTCCCTCTCGGGGGAACATACCATCACCGCTGCTGCTGCTACACGCCGTTTTTATTTACATTTGTCAGAGTCTGTGGCTCTTGTTCTAGTTAGTTTTGTCAGAAAGGCGAATTGAAACGATGCAGAGATTTTTTTTTTTCCGAGGCCAAAAGAGCCACAACAAAGAGCCCACCCCAGAGCCACCTCAGGGCTTTACTAGTGCAGACCCTCCTCAAACTTTACAAAGGATTTATACATTTAACAAACATGACATTTTCAGAGGGTCAGAATTCCGCGGATCCCTGGATTTAGGAGAAGAATTTAACCTGTGAGAGCATGAGAGAGAGAGGATCTTTTATTATTGTATCGTCTGTAGTTTTTAAAGACAGTGTAGAAAAGTCCAACCAGGGACATTGTCACAGATAAACCTCAGACACGTCCTTTACAAACTCTTTATCACATGAATGAATGTTGAACTAAGTCTACAGCTGAGAGAAAACAGTAAGTGGAGAGGACAAAGGACAGGCTAACGCCTAGCATTAGCATTAGCCTTAGCATTAGCCCCGACACAGGATCACTCAGATCTTGGAATCCCCGAGGCCCACGTGACTCAAAGCCACAGTCTGTTAGTGGACAATAAAGAGTTTAAAGTCTTGTACTTACATTAGTGATGTGCTGAGTCTTCAAAGTGTGTACCGAGGAATCAAAGGGAGCTTTTTTTGGAAGCGTGGGTCGAGGCGGGTGTTGATGACGTGTGTGGTGACGTTCGAAGCCGCGGCCGCACCACGTGACGGGAAAATGTCATGGATCTATTATAATGGCAAATGTTAATCATTCTTTCTCCTGGGAGAAAAATAAAGGGGGCGAGGATTTCAACTTGTTTCATGACAACAGCATTGACAGATGGCCTTCACATGAACAAAAAACTATCACATATTTGAAAAAATTTCCAATAATTTAAACCTGGTAAACATCTGGAGACAAACTGATCCTGCTGAAAGAATATTTACATGGAGCAACAAGGACAAAACAGGAAAGACCCCAGTCTGAAGAGAGCAATTCACCAGGTTTAAAAGCTCCTCTCTAAAAGATTCATAAAATGACTTAAAAAATGGAGTGGGGACTGGAACTAAAAGACATGTGGTGGGCCTCACTGAGGAGAAAACTTTATCAAGCATCTCAGCATCAACCAGGACAAAACTGTCCAGTGTTTCCTCTGGCGAAGACAGACAATAAGATGTGTTAAAAACAGTAGTGTGGTTGGATAAAATGTTACATCTGATTGTGTTTATCTTCCCCATGAAATGGACTGCTCCTCACAGAGGGAGTCTGTGGGGGTTAAAAGAGACATGCTAAAATCAGGGTTTAAAATGGTGTCGATGGTTGAAAATAGGACTTTTGGGTTATTTTTATTTTGGGTGATTAGTTTTGCAAAGTATTTGTTCTTATGATTTCTAATTGTGTAATTGTATGCTTTTTGATTGTTTGTATATGTTTCGTAGTTGATTGTTGTTTTATTATTCCTCCATCTTCGTTCTGCCACCCTGCACTCTTGTTTCATTTTGCGTACTTCCTCATTTCTCCATGGGGGTGCAGATTTTGTTTTTATTATTTTTGTTTTTAAAGGAGCAACCTGATCCAACGCAGAACTAAGTCTACTGTTAAAATCATTTGCTATAAAATCACAAGGGACAGGTAAAACCAAGTGGGGAGTGTTGTTTAGGATGTCGATAAAATTTGCAGCCACTCCAGGGGTTAGATGTTGCTTCCTCACGGTTCTCACAGAGGTATCACGCTGAATAAAACCAGTGATGTTAAAAAACACACAGTAGTGGTCCGAGACAGCCAAGTCGACAACAGAGGACACACCCGCAGTCAGGCCATAAGTAATAACCAGGTCGAGGGTGTGTCCTCTGTTGTGCATTGGCTGTCTGACGTGTTGGGTAAAATCCATGTAATTAAGAACATCTAAGAAATCTAGGGTAAAATTGTCAGAGGGATTGTCAATGTGTATGTTAAAATCACAGGTTAAAATTATATTGTAAAAATTGTATAACTGTGATAAAAACGCTTTGAATTCATGAATAAAAAGGCTGCACTTTTTAGGTGGCCTATAAATTATTTAAAATTTTGGGGTTGCTAAAAACAAGAGAGTGATACTCTTGTTTTGAAAGAAAAGCTAAAATTGGGAGGGGGCACATATTGTCCCTCTTTTTTTTCAGCTTTCTGGTGATTTCAGTAAAACTTCCCTCTACCTGGGGATTACAGGGGAACGAAACAAGCTAAAAACAAACTTCAGATAGTCATAGCACACAATATTCTGTGGGTCTTGAAAAATCAATAAAAATCATCAGAAACTTCTGGCAATATGGGAGTACCTGTTCTGAAATAGGCTGGCATGCAATGAGTTAAAAACATACCATCCAGTTCGTGTTCTAAAATCAAATCATTAACAGTAAAAGTCTTATTTAAAAGGGAGCGTACATTTAAAAGGGCAAACCTGATGGTAGATGGGTTCTTACTATTGATGGGGAGTCCAGAGTTTGAAGTGGGGGGAGCAGAGGATGAGAGAGGGCAGGGGGAAACAGTGATGAGGTTGGTGAAGGACGGTTTCCTGGGTATGGACGGTCTGTAGGGGCGGGGTCTGGACAAAACTAATTTTGTGCTGGGGAGGAGAGCAGGGGTGGATGCTGGGGCACAGACTGGCAGGAGAGATGTGGGATGTGGGGGTGGGTTGTCAGAGGTATGTAGGATGTGATTGGACTTCGTGGGTGATGTTGGAGATCAGGTACCGGTTGCCGAGTTGGTTGATGTGAAGTCCGTCGGGTGTGAAGAAGGGGTAGCGGTTCCAGAACAGATTAAAATTGTCTAAAAAACCAAAGTTGTGATGGAGTGATTTTTGATTGAGCCAGGTGTTGAGTGATAAAATCCTGCTAAAACGCTCCCTGCCGCGGTTCAGAGTGGGCAGAGGACCAGGAACAGTTTATCCTGAGTTTGATAAAAGGTTAAAAAGATCCTTAAAATGGCGTTTTGTGGTCTCGGATTGGCGGAGTGAAGCGCCATTTGTGCCGACATGAATTATGATTCGGGTTATTGTGGAGGGTGCTGTCTGTAAAAGTGCGGGTAGTTTAATCAGGATGGTGGGAGCTGTGGCGCCAGGAAAGCAGTGCGTGATGGCATTAAAAATCTTGCAGTGTCTGATGATAGAATCCCCCACCAGGAGCGTGGTTGGTGCAAACAGAGGCCGTGGAGGGGAGGGTGTGACTGGAGTAGGGCCCAGGGGAGTGCCGGGATGTGCCCGGAGCGGAGCTGCCACGAGCGGCAGTGACTCCACTGTGGCCGGGTTGGTGGTGGTGGTAGTGCAGGCGAATGTGGGAGTGCGCGGGGTGATCCACCAATAAACGAGGCGGCATCCGCGGGAGAACTCCGCGCCGTGCAAGAGCGCAGAGACCCCTCCTGCGGGTGAGGCAGCGTCCACGGGAAGACTCCGCGCCGTAATAGAGCGCCGAGACCCCCCCGCGGGCGAGGCAGCGTCTACAGGACGACTCTGCGCCGTGCTACAGCGCAGAGACCCCCCCGCGACCACCTCAGCGTAGGACCTGCTCTGAAGCGCCTCTGGGGATTCCCTCCGCATCAGAGCACACAAACCCTCCCACAGCAGGGACAGAACTCCCGGGGATATCCTGCGTCACGTCAGGACACGGGAGATCCCCCCGGAGCGTCTGTGCACAGCCTCCTCCACGAACCTGCTGCGTGAGGACACTGTGGACGTTCTGTGGTCTCCAGGCTTCTACTCTGTGTCGCTCTGGATATGGGCAGCAGGCTCCGGGACCGTAGAGGAGGGATGAGCACCGGGAGGGACAGGAGGAACAGCCGCAACCGCGGAACATAAGGTGAGGACCGGGGTAGAGCATGATGAGGGGTGAGGACAGGTGATGGGATCCCAAAGAGCAGTGTCGTGGAGTGTGGTAGCGAGTTGTGAGTGTCTAAGTACGGAGAGGGATATTTGCTGTGACTGCTTGAATGAGATGTCCATGAAATGTTCCAGAAGTTTCTCTTTATGTATGAGTTCTGTGGATAGTTGTGTAACACTGCGTTGAAGTTCCTCGGGGGTCGTTGCGTTTACTGGTTTGGATGGAAGAATTGAAGCAAGTTGTGATTTGTATATCTGTTTGTATGAGTTCTCGGGGGGAGCAGCGGTGTCCATGGTGGCGTATGTGGGCAGGCTGGTTACCGCGGTAACTGTTAAAAGGCTGATATACAGTCCAGTTAAAAGTGACAGTAATCCTGTTGTGGCACAACCTGTTAAAATCCGCTTAATCCATCAGTTGTTACGAATAAAAACAGTAATAAAAGCTTAGTTTAAAAAATAAATCCAAAAAGTGTGCAGTTCAAAAAAGGCTCCAAACAAATGCGTCCGCCATCTTGCACATGCGCAATCTCTCTCCGCTGAACTGCGTGAAGCGGAGAGAGCGGAGAGAGCGGTGAGATGTCAGAGAAAATATAGTCATTTATGGACATTGCTTATCCCGTGTGAATGGACTGCAAGATCTCACACCTCCTCCACGATTATCGCACATTATCAGGGGTCCACAGGTAATACTAATCCAGTGCGAATAGGGCTGAAGAAAAAAAAAAATAGTTTCACTTACGGGTAATCGATTGACGCCGAAATCTATTAAATACAAAATAATAAAAGGTTAATTATTGTATTTTCTAGTTCCCAAATCCGGTTATTATTTGTTAAATGTCTTATAAGAAATGAAAAAAGCCAAAATGGTAATTTTTGTATATTGCTGTGTGCCTGAAAGTGCAAAATAGACTTTTTTCAATTTTAAATTTTCCTTTAAAAATAGAAAATGTTTTGAAGAAAAAAGTACACGGACCGGGCAACATCTTAAAAGAGGATCTGGTAAAGTCAGCATGAATAATTTGTCTAAAACAATCATTAAAAAACGCATTACATTTAGGGTCATTTAAACTAACGTTTTGTATCTTGAGGGTTGGAAGTGATACAATAACATTAGAAGTAAGCAATGT